TATGTCTCCTTATTTTATCTGTCTCCTTTCTATCTGTCTCCTTTTCATCTGTCTCCCTATTTCTTTTGCTGCTGTCTCTCTTCTTTTGCTGCTGTCTCTTTTCTTTTGCTGCTGTCTCCTTTTTCTGCATGCAGGGAGAGACAGGTGGTTTTGGCCTTCGCGTTGTTTTGTCTACTGTCTCTTTCTGTCTCTGTTTCTTTTTTCTTGTTTTTCTCTGTCTCTCTCTCTGTCTCTCTCTCTTTCTCTCTCTTTCTCTCTCTCTTTCTCTCTAACTCTGTCTGTCTCTGTCTCTGTCTCTGTCTTTTAAGCAGCATCTCTGTGTCTCCTTTTGTCTCCTTTTGCTGCAGTTAGTATTTGTTTTTCTTTGTCTTTCTCTCTTTGTGTTTGTTGCTGTCTCTTGTCTTGCTGTCTCTCTCTATCTTTTTCTGTCTTTTATCTTATTCTGTTGTCTCCACTTTCTTTTACTTTTTTTATGTTTGCTGTCTCTCTCTGTCTTTTTTATTTTTTACTTCTTTCTTTCTGTCTCTGTTTCTTTGTCTTGTCCTCTCTCTGTCTCCTTTACCCTTTATTTCTGTCTCCTTTACTTTCTATTTCTGTATCTTTTACTCTTTATTTCTGTCTCTCTTAATTTCTATTTCTGTCTCCTTTATTTTACTTGTCTTATTTTCTCTTTTATTTTTTCTCCTGTCTCTTACTTTTTATTTTTGTCTCCTCTCTGTGTCTGTCTCTTCATCTCTTTCTTTTTCTTTTACATTTCTCTCCTTGTTGTCTCTCTCTCTTGTTTTTGTTTTTGTTTCTGTTTTGTTTGTCTCTTCTCTCTTTTATCTCTGTCTCTTTATTTTATTTTCTCTGTCTCCTTTATTTGTCTTTTACCTCTGTCTTTTTATCTATTTTCTCTGTCTTTTAATTTTTTTCTCTTTCGTCTCCGTCTCTCTGTCTCCTTCTCATCTGTCTCCTCTGCCTCCTCTCTTTTTTTATTTGTCTTTTCTTTCTGTCTTCTTTTCTTTTCGTTGTCTCCGTCTCTTCTGTCTGTCTTTTAATCTATTTATTGTCTCTGTCTCTCTCGTCTCTGTCTCCTGTCTCTCCTTCCTCTTTATCTTTCTAATCTTTTTTCTTTGTCTACTCTCTTTGTCTCCTTTCTCCTCTCTTTTCTCTGTCTCTTTTTTCTTTTTTACTGTCTCCTGCGTTGTTAGTTAAGGAGACAATAATAATGCGGTATGTCCCTGTGTAGGTGTTTAATTAATTAATATCTCTAAAATATAATAATTTCTTTTCTTTTGTTTGTTTTTTTGTTTGTTTTACACGCAGGTGGAGGCCCTAAGACGCCGCATCCGCCAGCTGATGAAGGAGGCAGCGTGAGGTTAGGGTTTAGGGTTTGTGGTTTAGGGTGTATGTACACCGCAGCTGCATGCATGCATGCAGTGCCGCAAGCACTGAATGCCCCGACAATAACAGCAGCAGCAGCAGCACCTGTCTCCTGTCTGCAGCAGCAGCAGCAGCAGTAGACACTAAAGGTGTACGTACACCTCAGCTACAGGTGTGCGGAGACAGAAAGAGACTCCCTGATGTTTGTCTTACTAATTATTTTACTCTCTTTTTTTGCTCTCTACTCGCTGTCCTTCATTCTATCACACACTTCTACAGTTACCCTTTGCTGCTGCCGCTGCTGTGATCTGCAGCAGCAGCAGCAACAGCAGCAGCAGCAGCGCAGCACTGAGTGGCAGCGACAGTACGGTGTACGTACACCCCAACTCTACGGCTGCATATGAGCAATAAACAGAAACATACAAACATATACATTCAAAATAATTATAAATATATAGACATAGACTAGGCATGTCTGCATATATCTATCTACACAAATATATATTAATATATAATTTACTATATATATATAATTTATTATATTATATAATATATAGACATGGACGTATAGGAATACTGCACGCAGATAGAAGAGACGCAGCTGAAAGACAAATAAACGGACATCTCCCTTAGAAAGACACCGCATTATATATATAAATATATTTTATATATGTGCATATGCATATATATATATATATATATATATATATATGCGTACATATACGCAGAGTACAGAAATTATATATATATATATATAACTTCATACTGACACATGCGTTGAGGTGTACAGACAGCAGAAATTGAGCACTAAACAGAAATAAACCCTAAACCCTAAACCCCTAGACATTCATTAGGCCCTGCAGCAGCAGAAACAAAGCAGACAAAAACCAGAGACGAGCTGCAGCAATAGTTGAGGTGTATCCTCATCATACAATGCAATGAAAGACACAGACAAGAAAGCGTGAACAGAAAAATATTAATTAATATGTTTATTTAATATTTAATATATGTTTATTTTCTTCGTTTTGTTTGGTGGTGGCTTCTAGGGAAGCCTAATGATGCTAAACAAGTTCTCCGTCTATAT